TAAGCTTCTAGGTTAAAATTAGTTTAGTAGAAATCAAGTATTGTAGTTCGAAGAGAGCCAAAGCACTACAAGGAGATCAATCAAACAAGCAAGAAGATCAAGATTGTGAGCGAGCTCACACGACAGAGATCAACCATTGGAATTATGGGTGCGGCCAAGCAACAATGCAACATGTCAAAAGATTAAAAAAGGGATTTTTTTTTAAATTTCTTTTAGAAGACTTTCATTATCTTTTAACTAAATTTTTATTTAGCCACTTAATTCTCCTTATTAAGGGGTTTCCGTGTATACCACACAAAAGTAGGAAATAAATATACGTTCGCACAGTCCAAGTCCAACCTCCGCCATCCTTCGACCATCGAATGTCACTGCCACTCGCTTTCCATATGATAAAGTTTCTCTGTCGCCATTGCCAAATATCCCCCAAATCGTTGCACGGCTATCCAAGAGAGAAATCGAACAAGTTGTAGCAGCAAGAGAAGCACGATGGAGGAGGAGAAATGAGACCATGAGGGTCACCTCTGCACTAACAACTGCAGCTTCTTTGACTCGTCGAAGACTATGAACTTGTGCTCAAAGTGCTACAACGACCTCTGGCTCAAAGACCTCCCCCTTCCACTTCTTCCATACCTCTCATTCCCTCCTGTAACACCCAATTTTGACAATTTGAAGGTGTACCCCAAATTTCGCATCCCTCTGAACATGACAAAGTTAATTTTATAAAATTCTACACGTTGAATTGATCAATTTTTTATATAAAACTAAATATGAATTTTACACGTATGAGAAGATATAAAATTATAAAGTTATAAATTTAATTAACTTTAATTTATCCTAATACCACCCTAATCCTGCATCTTTACTCTTCCCAACCAACTTTCTTCGCACTTAGCTGCACATGCATCAGTTTGATGGATCGAATAGTTGAGAGTTAACGGGAGTAAGTTAAATGTCGCAATCCCATCCCTCTCCCTGTTCTCAATTTCACTTAGCTGAAGCAATTCTGCGATTCGACACTATAGAAAGCGTAAACTGAGCAACCTGCAGGGAGCCGCATGCAGCATTTCATGGTTCTAGGGAGGTGTCTATGACCGTAAATCCCTCTTTTATGATTTTTCAGGCATTCATTTTCTTATGCTTTCGTTTTGATGTTTGACACAAAAAAGTACACTTATTTATTCCCTGTCAAAGCAATAAGAGGCGATGTAGTGTCGAAAGCTAGGAACTTGATTTTAGCTTTCGAATTGCATCTTTAGCAGAAAATCAACAAAGATAAGTAGAAGAAAGATAGGAAGGAAAACAAAGGAAGAAAGAAATAGAAGAAATCTTCAAGGAGGATTTATGCAGAGAAGCCCATTTGAGATAAAAATAACAAAGTAATATTTGGGGTTAAATCACAAATGAGCTAAAAATTCATAAAATCCTAAGATGTTTACAAAGGCGAGCTTGGAGAAACTCGTTGTGAAGCTGCTTCTATCAATTCAGGTGAAATAATTATGTGCTAACTTAAAAATAATAATTCTTTATAGGTTTTCATGTGATTATGCATTTGATACTATTGCATCTAGAAGTTTCTACATATTGTGTATGAATACATGCATAGATTGTAGAATGCAAATCTAATAAATGTACTTATGAAATCATTACTTCCAGGTATTCATTTATTGTGATTCATGTATATGATATAAGAAATGTCTATAATGAATGCTTGTTATAGGAATTATGATTTAAATAATGTTACAAGTGATATTATGGGTAGATAATTACACAAATACTTACAAGCATGGATGATAGGAAGCGATGAGATTCCCGACTCTTGGTACTCAGATGGAGACAAAACTCAGGTAACTGCTAGGATCAAATGGTGACGAAATGTAGAAAATCATTGGTACCAAGGGCTATTGATAACTACTATGTTAGAAGATTCCTAATATTTATCAATAGTTAATGTGACATTCGGGCTGCGTGATGACCCAATGATATAATATGGCATGGGAATAATTGAGGCTTATACAATTACAAATAATATTCATATGATTAGATTGATGACTCTCATAAATATACTTATGATTACAAATGAATGAATAAAAAACATATTTTATACAGCAGTTATGATTATTTGCATTACATTTCTTTTCTTTTAAATATTTTATATGATTATAGCATTTTTTGACATGTGTTGTAGACATATATATGAGTTACATAAGAGCATGCACGTTATTTCTTGTTCGTCTATAAATATTATTTTAGTCTTAATTATTTCGCTGAACTCGTTATTAACTTCCAGGAATGTGCAAAGAACAGCATGGAAAGTAGTCAGTTGTGACTTGTACAGCTTTTGTCATTCATAGTTTTGGGGAGCTTATATAAACTTTTGAGTGCGTCTTCTTTTACGTAAGATTTAGCGACTTCAAATAGATATACATATTTTGATGATATGATTTCCAGGATATTGAGAATATATGAATATAAATGAATTATTAAATGAAATGCATCAAATATATTTATAGTGATTTAGTTTGATTAGTCCGTCACCCACTGAGTTCTAATTCAAAAAGTCATGACGAGGGCTTGTGAGAATTTAGTCTGACCAAATCATCCATCATTGTCGCACCAGCTGGCCCTTAAAGGAGAGGCTAGTTGGGGTTCGACACATCCCTCCCCAAGCCCTCTGCTTATGCCATTAAAATATCATGGGCGCCAATGGTAGAAGCCCTGCCAATGTTGTCGAATTTATGGTGGTGTACACGTGCCATAAAAAGGTGGAGCTCACAGGTTTTCGGTGTCGCTGCTGCATGATCGATGTTTTATGGTCGGGAGTTGGCAGAGGCTGTACTTGGACTAAGCGACAACGTATTTATTTTTCTTTTATGTGGTATGTGTGTAATATTAAAACTTTAGGCATTAGATATATAAAATGGTAGATTTTGTGCGGCATGAATGTAAATCTCCCTTCCTTCTTACTATTTTTTTCATTTTCTTTTAATTGGATTTTTAGTTTTAAATATTTTTTTCATTTTCTTTACTAATTTTTTTCTTTGATTCCTCACTTTTTTTGAAATCTTTGGAGTTAAGGACTTATTTTACTTCTATCAGAAAAAGAATGTGTTTCCAATATAAATTTATAACTTAGCATCCACAAAATGTTCATATCTTTTGGCTAAGAACTCGAGAGAGCTATGGCATTATATTTATCCTTGATTTTAGCTTCAATTCTTTTAAAATCTATAATGAATTTGCCGAGTCATACAAATTCTTCTTGAGTGATATAGAATCATCCAATTTTAAGGTGCAAAACCTCTTCCAAAGATATAAACAATTGTTGAGAGTTCTCTTTAAATATAGAAACTCACGTTTCCCCAAGATTCCAAAGGCTGCTTGTCCTTTCACAAAAAGTTCATCTCCAAGCTCAAGTAGAATGGTATCAAGGGCTTTATCAGCAAGATTTCCCAAAATATTTACATCAATCTACTGCAATGCCTCATCTGATAATGCCACATCAAGGACTTTTTGAACTTTCCAACGCCTTCATTTTCAGTCTTCAAAGACTAAAATCATTTCTTGCATGATCTTTTCAATCTCCTATCTTACAAGCACCATCAAGATTCAATTTTGTAGGCTTGGTACCAATTGTAAGAATAAGAAGAGACTGTAAAGGCCGCTTTCAAGCCTTCTAAATAACAACCCTTGTTGACTTCAAGGTTTCTCAAACTTGGTTTGCCTTGCTCTTCCTCGGGATTTATTTTCTTGGATCAGCTCCTAAGCTTCAATCACCTTTCTGCTTCTCAATTCAACCATCTAGCAAATTTCAGCAATGAGCTTGATTTTAGTCCAATTTTAGCTCTGCCACCCAGTACCTTGAACACTAAAATAGCATATCTTAACAAATCTCAAGCAAGCAAGCTGGAAAAAGTCTAACTTCTTCAATGAAGTGGCAAGACACAAGCTCCTGCATCTCCCACTACCAATGACAGTACAAGAGTTATTCATGTCCTTGCTACAATAGCAATCCATGGACACCTGCAAAGCTCACAGGCAACAAAAAAGGAGAAAAAGGAAGATGAAGGAACAGTAGATAAAATTTTATTGGGGTTGCATTCGTATCTTATTTCAAAACATCTTCCAACAAGAAGATATCCTGGAGTAATTACTAGACCCACGGCAAAACATAGAGAAAATAAGATTTAAATAGTCCAATAACTAGAAGTTGTTGGGTTAGCATCAAGACTTACAAGTAACTATTAACAAGATATAAAACCACACTAACAGATTTTTCAAGCAGGTCAATTCTTTTGGGACCATGTAGATCAATCTTTTTCCCTGCTCAAGGACCATCCCTTCATATTTGTGGAGGATGATAAGCCACTAACTTCATCAACCATGGCTAATGATTAATTCATGGGCAATGTAGATTCACAGCACTCATGGATTTCTACATAGCTACACCTTTGGCCATAAAACTTTAGTTGTGAGTTTTGTGACTTCTCCATAATCTCTGCTTTCATTCCATTAATCATTAACTTACATTAAATCCTAGATCCCCCTTTAAATAGAGAAACTCCGCAAATTATAATATAAAGATACCAAGAACGAAAACATAAAAAAAATGTAAGTATCATAAGTTGACTGATGACCCATGATCATCCCACATCATCGTGTTTAACCAAGTAATGGATAAAAATTCTCTCTTTATTTGTCTCATTCTTTTATAAATGTAGCCTTCTAAGGTGCATGTTAATGTTGGTACTTCAAACAAAAAAGAAAATAGATATATATTGCTTATATCAAAATAATCTTTAATAAAAGCCAATGCATTGCTGTATTGAAAGATAGCAGCTTCACCTTGAAGATGTAAAGCCATATTTAGCCGCTTTATAATAGCTAGAAATTAAGAGAATATGTGCTTGCTGCAATAGCCGAAAACCAATATTTAACTTTTTCGGCAATAATTGGATGCCCATTATAAAGGTTGAATTTGAGTATTATTTAGATATGCATACCATTTGAAGATCACGGCTTCCAGATGTACTCTCCACAAGATGAGGCCGAGCACGGACATCATAAATTATTGGCCTCTCAAACCAAGGGATCATCAAATGTGTTCCCTCGGGATAAACCTGGAAAAAATTCATTGTGAACAAACAATAGAAAATACTAACACTAAAGCGCCAGTAACACAAGTAAAAAAAAAAACAAAATTTGAAACAGCATTAGTAAAACATATTATATTTAAAGCACAACAAATCTTGGGCCGTTTCTAATGTCTGAATATCTTCGAAGTTCTAATAAAACCATTGAGCAAATCTCACTCCACCTTCTGATTCACAAATTCAATCCTTTGCAACTAAAATTTCAACTTTATGTAATTTGCAGGAATATTCAAGTTTCTCATAAACAGGAGACAGCTCAATTAACAGCAGGCTTTATTCAAAGTTCATAAATCACTCCTTCCATGACCACAAAAGACAAACTTTCGCGTTAATTCATCAAAGAATACGATCAAAGAGCATCTAGGAGTGCAAAGTAATTCCTTTTCAAAGCAAACCAGCAGTCACAGCTAGATCATCAAAATTAAAAAAAAAACAAAAATAATGAATTAGAAATGTAGTATTACTACCTTATCCTTAATTCCCTGGATGCGGTTGAAGACAATGGCCCGATGGCCACCATCGACATTGTAGAGGCTATTGAAAGCAGCGTAGACGCCGGCGCCGCCGATCAAAGCCACCTTCACCAGCGCTGACGCCGCACCTGTGTTCGGAACCCGAGCGTTCTTAAAGTTCATCTCGGCTTCCTCACCAATGCCTAGTGAATAATCCGATAAACAAGAGGAGGAATCGATATCAAGGGCTTGTAATAATGATAAATCGATAAGAGTAAAAGGTTTTGCACCGTGGGAGGATGAAGATGGCGAACTGCTGTTGCTCAGCGGCGGAGGGTTTTAGGGGTTTGGTAGGTCACAGATTTCACTCAGTACTAGTGAAGGAGAAGGTTGACAAGGGCAAAATTTTCATACTAATATAAAAGAAATTTCATTTTATCCTCCCATAGTATATTTTCATGTTAAATATTAGTTCTGAACAACTCAAATCTGGATGGGGTCAATCACCGATTGTCACGTCGTTATACATCTCATATGTATGTTACATGGGAAAAAATATTACATCAGTATTACGCACGTAGAGTTAACGTGCGTAGTCAGTGAAATCACGTCACGACACCCCGCGCGACAGAGAGAAAAAAACGGCGCAGTGGAATATTTCCTCCCGTGTTATTCATGTGTTATTGTGTGTTATTCATGTGTTATTGTGTCCTGAGAATATTCCTGGTGCTATAATAACACAATAACACATCAAAAACACATGAATAACACACAATAACACATGAATAATACAGGAGAATAAGGCGGGGGAGAATATTCTCTCGTGTCACTGCGTCGTTTTTTCTCTGTCGGGAATATTTCTCGTGTTATTTATGTGTTATTGTGTGTTATTCATGTGTTGTTGCATGTTATTCATGTGTTATTGATATATTATTGTGTTATTATAACACCAAGAATATTCTCATTACACAATAACACATGAATAACACAAGGGGAATATTCCTCATGTTACTACGCCGTCTTTTTTTCTGTGTCGCGCGGGATATCGTGGCGTGATTTCATTGATTACACACGTTACTTCTACGTGCGTAGTACTGATGTAATATTTTTTCGTTACATGGCGGTCGATAGTTGGCCGTCTCCGAACATAATATTTTTTTCTTAAATTTAAATTACATACATAAATTAAAAAATCGCATGTTCTCACAAATGTGATGAGTGTTAGAAATTGTTCTCCTTGAAGGTGGATTAAGTTAATTTGACTAGACCTTTCCACTCGCCATAACAACAATAAAGATTGTGAATCAACTAATATTTCAAATAAATTTAATGATATTTCAAACATAGTTTTTGCACTTATAATATATTTAAACAACTTTATGTTCGTTATATCAATTATGTTATATTATGTAATTTATTTAATTTCCTCAAAGTATAAAATTTTATATAAAATTTTGCATCTACCCCAACCTAAAAATAAGATATTACAGGGTTGATTGTGAACATATTTTTTTCATTAAGTTTTTTTTTTTCTTCCTCCCACTCTCATATATATCTCAATCAATCTTAGCAATAAATCCTATGTTTTTTTGTAATCGCAAAACAAAGAACTACAACAAATAAAAACTTTGATAAGGATGGAGAACTGAAAGGAGGAATGGCTCTCAAGGTGATCTAAGGCTCCTTAGAACAACCATGTTGGGTGCCTCTCAATTTGACATTTCTAATGATGAATTTATAAGCACTATCTCCTTTAATGACTATCAAAAATTTTGCATACCATTCACACCTTATGTGACTATAAACATATTACTTAATGGGCAGCAGAGAAATTGTCATGTGACAAATGGTTAAGAAGTGTCAGTCAAATGGCTAATACATTCTCCAAGAGAATCACAAAATCATGGACCCAAATAAATTTTACATTTTCCTATTATGACTCCTATAAAGGAAATAAAGATCTAGTCAATTATGTCATTCATTTTGAGTCGGCCACCTCTCAATATCACTTTTCTTCTTCAAAGTGGTATCGTTCTAACAGATTGCTTTTGTGGAGCATTACCTCATTTATCAAAAGTTCTAAGATAATTTATTTCACAATTGCAAAAGTTTGAAAGCCACATAAAAATGGATAGGCCTTACTCAAAATAAGACAAAAGTAGGGCAAGTCTCAGTGAAATTACATCGATATGTTCCAACAAGTGATAATTGAAGTAAAAGAAATGGATTCAATGGTAGCATAAGTTCTACGATTTAAAATTATGAATGGACTTCTTAATTTGCAATCAACATATAACAGTCAAGTATTTAGGTTAATTAATTACTCATATTTGTCATTTATTATATTAATATTAAATAAAATAATAGCAATATTGTGTGTTGGAAGATTTGCAATGATAGAGTGACAATTTAATGTATTAGTATTGCAAAAAGATCCAACACTCATAGATAAAAGAAAAAGTAGCAGGAGGATACATTTTAATTTTTTTTTTTTGTGGAAAAAACATGAAAAAGGAAAAACACAGGGCATAGCCCCTTCAAAGTTCACTATAAGATTATAAGTACATAAGTTTATTCTTCTCATAAATTAGAGAAGATAGGATTACAATGTGAACAATCACTGACGTACAATGATCATGCAGGTTTAATAACTATAATCATGTTGCAACAAACGTAGTTCTTGGTAATAATAGATATAGTGGGATGCAGAGGTCATTGTTGATTGTTGTAAATGTAGTAGTTTGTCATAAAGACTGGATTTGATGGTTGTGATAATGTCAGTTGGTCATAGAGGTCATAATTGAAAGTTGTAGTTGTGGTTAGCCACATAAGTCATAGTTGGAGGCTATAATAGCAATTAACTAGATAGTTTGGAGTTTGCCACATAGATTATAGTTGAAGGATGAAGTGATAGTAAATGTCGTAGTTGGTAGTTGTAGTAGCAATTAGTTATATACACCATAGTTTGTCATACATGTCATGGTTGGTAGCTGCAGTGACATCAATTGATCAGAGAGACCATCATAGTCTGTAGCTTCAAGAGAGTCAATTCGCGATAAATGTTATAGTGAAGGTTGTAATAACAACACTTGATCGCATGAGTCATAGTGGAAGTCTGCAATGATAGAAATTGATCATAAAGGTTGTGGTGAAAGATTGAAATGATAGTTGTTGGCCACAGAAGACGTAATAGAAGGTTATAATGACAACATTTGGCCATCTAGGTTGTAGTGAGAGGAAGAAATAACAGTAGTTCGCAACATAGATTATAGTGGGAAGCTGCAAAAATAGTTAGTTACATAGGTCGTGGTTGGAAGCTGCAGTAGCAATTATTTACATAGGTCGTGGTTGGTCACATAAGTTGTGGTTGGTAGTTATAGTAGCGCTAGTTGGCTAGAGAGGACATAGTTGGAACCTACAAAAGCAGTGAGCGACATAGGTCGCAGATGGTCACATTAGTATTGGGGAGCTTCAGTAGTGTCAGTTGCTCATAAAGTTTGTAGTGGGGAGTTGTAATAGTATTTGGCCATATAGGTTGTAGTTGGTCACGGAGAGCTGAAGTAGAGCATCAGAAGGTTGTAGTTGGAAGCTATAATAGCAATGAGCCAAAAAGACTGTAATTGGGAATTGTAGTAACATCAGTTGGACACAAAATCCATGGTTGGAAATTATAATAAAAATGAGCTACATAGGTTGTAGTTGGTCACATAGGTCATGGTGGAGAGTTGTAGTTGCAATTAGTCACATAGGCAGTAATGGTGAGTTGTAGTAGCGTAGGTTGGCCACAAAAGTCATAGTTTGAAGTTGCAGTAACAATGAGCCACATATGTCGTAGTAGGGAGTTACAGTTGTGTCAGTTGGCCACAAAGGCCATAATTGAAAGCTATAGTAGCAGTGAGTCATATAGGTTGTAGTTGGCTACATATGTCATAATAGGGAGATAAAGTAGTAGTTATTCATATAGGTTGTAATTGTTCATATAAGTTATAGTGGGAAGCTACAATAACAATTAGCTATATATGTCGTAGTAGGGAGTTGCAGTAGCATTAGTTGACCACAAAAGTTGTAGTTGAAAACTAAAGTAACTGTGAGCCGCATAGAATATTGTTGGTCACATAGGACATGTGGGGAGCTACAATAGCATAAATTGTCCACAAATGCCATTGTTAGGAGCTTTAATAACATTAGTTGGTCCTAAAGGCCATAGTCGGTCATATATTGATTGGTGGTTGTAACTCTTTTCCTATGTTTCTTATTACACCAGAGATATCACTTATTAGTTTACTATATAAGGAGGGAATTTTAAAAGTTCAAAGAAAGTCATTGTATTTTAAGCACAGTGATCATAAGCAGTTATATTTAGGAGTTATCGACGGGTATTCAATACATCATAATAGGGATATGTCGTTGCATAGAACTATGAATACTTCATTATACCTTATTCAAGGAAATTTGTTACACCGTGTTCAGGGTATTTTGTTACAACGTGTTGACGGTACCTTGTTACACCACAGGGTTCCTCAAGATGGTGAGTAGGGAGTGGCCAGCGGAAACCAATGAAAATTAGTGGGCGGTGGTCGATTTTGATGGAGGGCCATTCATTTCCTTATTAAGTGGTTTGAGTTTTAATCCTTTTAGCTAAAAATAATATTTTTTTATGATTTAAATGAGATTTGGTAATATGAGAAAGATATCATTAATGAGTCTAATAAAAAAGTTGGAAATAATATGGCACTTACGACCAACAATCTGAAAATAATCCTAATTTTAGCGATTTGCAACCATTTTAATTGTGACTACAATTATTACCCTAGCTAAACAAATCAGGCTAGCCTGGCATTGTTTTGCAAAATCAACAATTTGACCAAGCCATCACCTTCATTTAGCCCTTGATGTTGCTTGTTGGTAACTATTTTCTTATTCATCTGACTATCATCGAAGACACTCTTCCTTATGCTCATATTATACATTTAATATCTTCTATTTATATTTTTTTTTGCATGTTGTTGTAATATAAAATTTTAGAACATGGCATGCATTAATATTTTTATCTAAGTCATGATGAAATTTTATAGGATCTTCTGTTGCATTTGTGAGTGAAAGAGTGAAGAATTTTCTTAAGGCACGTGAACATATTCATGCTTATTTTCTTAATCATTTTTAATTGAGATTTGTTTTATTATATATTGACAAGTTTTGATAGGAAAAATTATCCATATGATATGATTTAGATTTTATGATCATTTTTTCATGTTTTAACCGTCTTATAAGTTTTTTCAGAGATGTGAATGTATTGAACATTTTTAATACGTAGTAGTGGTTCTAATCATTACAATTCTATCCATTATAAAAATCACTTTTCAATGATGGTTAATTTAAAGAGTTTTCCAACAAATTATA